GACCCGTGCGTCCATCCACCGCGCGCCGGAGTCGGCTCGGTGCGCCGGGCGCCAGTGCCGGCCGTGCCGCCCCTGCCACGCACCCCGCCGCGCTGGCCGGCCGGCCGGCGCTAGCAGCGGTGCAGCGCGGCCCGACCAACTGCCCATTCTAGGGGCTGTGAAATGCAGCGTCACCTCGTCACGGGTGATCGCGGACAGCGGCTGGTACACGACAGGAGAGGGAAACACTCCCCCTCTGCACGGCTGCCGGGGCGGTCACGCTGACACGCGCATGCAGAAGGCATGACCACCTACTATGGACGTCAAACCCCTTGAGATCCCACTTTTTTGCGATAATTTTTAAATGCGTCAACTCTCGTTGACAATATTCTGGCAATGTGTGTTTAAGAACCTGCCGAAACTTTTATTACTAAGGTATTTTGACACCAAACGATTATAAAAGGTACTTCTCATTCACTCGTAATGTTAAATTTCACGGAACGAATCTGCTGTTTGGGTAGAGGCTACGCGCTCATGGGGCGGAGCCACGCAATGACGTCAGCGCTAAGCTCCGCCCTACCCCTCCGGCGCTCCTTGCCCGGCGACCGGTCACTCGCGTCTCTCGCTCCATTCAGGCTTGATGGTGGGCGGTAGCTGGTAGTGGTAGCGGGCGCTGGTAGATGGCATTTAGAGGAGATGGCGCTGATGGCGGGACTCGAGTGTGGCCGAGCGCAAGCCTCTGCCCGGGCCTGAATTGACCTTAGCATTACGAGTGAATGAGAAGTACCTTCCATAATCGTTTGGCGTCAAAATACCTTAGTAATAAAAGTTTCGGCAGGTTCTGAAACATACATTGCCAGAATATTGTCAACGAAAGTTGACGCATTTAAAAATTATCGCAAAAAAGTGGGGTCTCAAGGGGTTTGACGTTCATAGTAAATCTATGATAAGTACATAGATCACCAACACGCACCTTGATGGATAACGTTATGATAGAGCCGTTGAGCAAGAAACGAGACCGGGGCTAAGACCGGCAAACCACACATGAAATGACACTGAAAAAGACAAGGATAGGTTTTACAGTTTCTCTTCCGCGCAGTGTACAGGTCTCGCGGGTTTTAAGCGTAGGTTTTGCCTTTCCGGCTATATCTTTTTCGTCTTCAGCTTTGTAGGCTTGAAGATGTGACCGATTTATTCGTTTAACTCCCTTTCATGATCATGGAAAAAGGTTTGATTGTATGCCGGCTAGTTTCGGAGAAATTAACGGAAAACCTCAAAATTCGCCGTTTGGGGCATTCTGACCGCGGCTTCCCTGCAGTCGCCTATGACTACAGTGGCGCCACCCGACGAGTAGGAGGCTGAAACACAGAGGCATGAATGAATCCAGCGCGTGGTGAACGGTGGATAGAGGCGGGACTCGGCAGAGGCTATCACTGCGGCCCGCGCAGGGCGTCCTTGGACAGCGGGCGAGCCTTCGGGCGGTGAGGCCAGAGGTCACGACAGCCAGGCTCTGTTTGGCATGAAGGGAGGGGAGGCGCTCGCCTCATCCAACTTGGCGGGTTTGGTGGTAGTGGTGGTGGTGTGGGGGGGGGGGCGGCAGGCGAGAGGGGCTAGAACGAACGGGATAAAATAGAATGGAAATGTCGTTCGTGCCATGGTCAACTTACAATATTGTTTACCTTATAATCATGTATTAACATTACGAAAGAACCCACCATATTAAATTGAGAAACATGCCTACAGGATATGTTATTTTTCGATGTTACCGCTTACTATTAATGGAAACCCTACTTCTTATTAGGGGTGATAAAATGAGCCCCTCCGCTCGGTTTTTCCTGAATAACTCGCGTAAGTAGTGGCGGATAACAGCGAAGCTTTCAGGGCCGTAAGTTATTTTTCTCACCATAAGTAAATAATACCCATGCGGTCAGGAGCCAGGATAAGTTCAGGCCATCTGCAATTAAAAGTTTACACCTACCCTGAAAATTTCATGACCCTGACCAAAATGACCTTTGGTCTGTGACCAGTTTTTAGAGCCCATTACAGGCCAGAATGGGCATGCGGCGTGTCAGGTCTCATTAACCGTTCGTTTCTAGACTTGTGATTAGAAACGTCCCAACATGTGAAATTGTGTTTGGCCCCTTGTGTCTTATTTGGCCGGGACCAGCGCAGGAACTTGGCCGGTGCCTTCAGGGCTGCTTAACTACAAATTTGCCGATCTGCGGAGCGCAGGGACACGATCTGTCCACGTTGAAAACCATTCGGAATGACATTGCGGCACAGCTAATCTTCAAGGTTTCCGCGACCCTAGAATATCTGCTGTTTAGCTGCCGGTTTCTGGTCACATTACCTAAAGGCGAGGTCACTAGCGATGGAAATGGAAACACGTTGAACAGGCTAGTGAGAAGGATTCAGAGAAGATGAGAAGCAATTTCAAAGTTCTCTATCTGGTCGTGTAGAGGAAAGACGGCGCTACAAAACTGCAAACTGGGATTTTCAAACTTGTGAGATTTTGACCCCCCAAATAAAAAAAAATTGGTCTGTTACAAAATAGCAAAAACCTCAAACGTTTTTCGAATTAAAAAAAGGAATATAATAGAACAAACATGGAATATAATTAAAGAACATGGAATATAATAGTCCCTGATTTCTTCGATCTACCTAACAAATTGTAGATCGATACCTCCTTTTTTGGCCAAGTTTTAGCGAAAAAAAAACTTCGAAATTGGTGACGTCAATTTTTAACTCATTTTTTTTAGCAATTCTAGACCACGTAGCGCAAAACAAAGACCACCACATTAGCCTTATTTTTCTCACCATAAGTAAATAAATACCCATGCGGTCAGGAGCCAGGATAAGTTCAGGCCATCTGCAATTAAAAGTTATCGTTATCAAGCCCTACCCTGAAGATTGCATGACCCAGCTGCGTGACGAGCTGCATCGAATCGATACCCATTTTATGCAAAAATATCAAATTAAAAAATTTGACCAAATTTGACCTGACCTTTACCTGACCTTCACCAGAACATAACCTAAACTGGCCCCAAAGGCTGCCTGACCCACATAATCGCATTTGTCATGTAAAATGAACCAGAAAACATGCATCACATAATAGTTATTTTCATATTGTGACCCTCAGTGACCTGACCTCTGTGACCTGACCTGGTATCAGTGACCCCAAATTACAAAATATGTGTTTGACGAACAATTCCCCATCGAAAATTGTCATTCATCGATTCCTTATCGATTAATGGCATGTATTTTACTCGATTTTAAAGCATATTTCTTGAAATGCCTGTAAACGGTGAAAATTCGACATTTGACCTGACCTGTGACGTCATCGGTTTGACTGAGGTCAATGAAATTGAGCCAAAAGATATTTCCTCGTTAGGACCATCCAACACAGTTTGCTGCTTGTCGCTATTTTGCGTGGTTCTCGAGATCTTGGGGGGGGGGGCAAATCCCCCCCATGGGACCGATGCTTGGTAGACCTTAACGGGGCGCGGGTTAAATGACAGAACTGTTCCCAAGAAATAACACTACAGTCGTCTCCCGGCCTCAATGGTAAGCGGCTAAAACTTTGAACGACTACCTATGAATCGGCACGCTGCCGGCTCACTCCGCCCGCCGCTGGCTACGGGTGGCCTTTACCGTTCAATGCCGATTGGCCAACGGCCGAGGTCGTGCGCTGGTCAGCACGCAGAGAGGACGGGACGCGGTAGTGCACATTGTGAGTGACCTCTGACCTTTCCCCGTCCCCTGGCCGCATGCCGTGTCGCCGGCCCAGACGACAGAAACCGGTTCTAGCCTCTACGCAGGCTGCCACTCTGACCCTTCCCTCCCCACTTTACTATGTGTCGTAGTACGCACTCGCGAGTAACTGGGCGGAGCGAATGGTCACCGATACAGAGGCGGAACTGGTTGCCCTCCCGCTCGCCGAGCCACCTACCGCTAAAACCCGCGAGACCTGTACATACACATCTGACATCATCCACCGACCAAACACCGGTTCGCCAAACCGAACAACAAAATTTCTTGATACAATAGCCAAAACTTTCCTCTTGAAGCTTCCGCCGGGCGAGACATAAATTGAGCACGCCACCCTCCGCGCAAGTGCCGCCGCCGGCTGCATGGGCTGATCCGAGGCCGGGCAGCTGGGCTGGGCGGAGCACCGCCGCCACCCGCCGGGAGCCGGCCGCGCGACACCACACCGTGGCCCGAACGGCCAGCTCCGCGGGCACAGACAGCCGGCGGCCGGAGCAGGACAATACGCCAGCCCCCCGCACCCGACGCCAGACCGCGGGCGACACCATTCAGCAGTGCATGTGTCCGACACAGCCGCCGCGAGCACGGGCCTCCGGCGGACTGCGCGCCGCACTCGGCCAGCAGTCCAGCGAGCACGGCCCTCCGGCTGACTGCGCGCCGCACTCGGCCAGCAGTCCAGCGAGCACGGGCCTCCGGCTGACTGCGCGCCGCACTCGGCCAGCAGTCCAGCGAGCACGGGCCTCCGGCGGACTGCGCGCCGCACTCAGCCAGCAGTCCAGCGAGCACGGGCCTCCGGCTGACTGCGCGCCGCACTCAGCCAGCAGTCCAGCGAGCACGGGCCTCCGGCTGACTGCGCGCCGCACTCGGCCAGCAGTCCAGCGAGCACGGGCCTCCGGCTGACTGCGCGCCGCACTCGGCCAGCAGTCCAGCGAGCACGGGCCTCCGGCTGACTGCGCGCCGCACTCGGCCAGCAGTCCAGCGAGCACGGGCCTCCGGCTGACTGCGCGCCGCACTCGGCCAGCAGTCCAGCGAGCACGGGCCTCCGGCTGACTGCGCGCCGCACTCGGCCAGCAGTCCAGCGAGCACGGGCCTCCGGCTGACTGCGCGCCGCACTCGGCCAGCAGTCCAGCGGAACGCAGCCGAGCCGTCCGGCGAGGCCGGCGGCCACCCACTCACTGTGACCGCCGCGTCGCTGCATCCACCACAGTTCTTAAATCCTCACCAACAGGCGCTCACTTTGGGCTTGAAAACCGGGACTCAGTAAAGGTATTTATTTTCTTACGAGTCTCACACAACTGTCAATATTACCACAAACGCTCGTGGTATGTCTGGGGCGGCACCCACGGGGCCGGGCGCCGGAGACGGAGATGCGGCAGCGGCCCATCGTGGGCCGGTCCGCAGCCAATGCCCTGGTACAGGTGCCGGGCGGCCGGCCGGGTCGGGCCAGGCGACCGGCGCGCCGCCGGGAATGCTGAGCCGGCCGGCCGGCGGAGTCGGCGCCGCGCCGGACACAGCCGCCCTAAATCGGTACAAAGGCGGCACGCTTGGCTAGCCAGCAGATGTGAAAGACAAATAAAGACATGAAACCGAATGAGGAGTACAAGTTGGCTGCGCGTCGGCCGGTGCCGGGCGGCGGCGCTCTCCGCCGGCGCCGGCGGCTCTCTGGTCCGTATATCGCAACACCGCACAGTGGGCGCCGCGCTACTGCGGCCGCGCCGGGCCGCCGCGAGCCCCGCGCGGCGCCCCGCGCGCGCCGCCGGCCGGGCCGCCACGGCCGGCGCGGTAGGGCCGCTCGGCGCCGGCCGGGCCGCCGCGGCTCGGGCCCGCCCGCTCTGCGCGTCTCTGCTCGCCGTAGCCGCCTCGGCTGGAGCGCGGAGGACGGTCGTAGCCGCCCCGGCCGCGGGCGCCGAAGCCGTTGGAGGGTCCGCGACTCCTGGCGCCTCCGCGGCCGCCCCGGTAGCCGCCTCGCCGACCTGAGAACAGATGGGAGCGCAGTTAGTTGGCGGACAGTAGTCGGACGGCGGAACGACCCGGGAGAACCCACCATTAATGGACAACCGCCCTGATACTCCAATATCAGTGCCACTTCCCATTATAATCTTAAGTTTGCTTCGCGCCCTGTCGCCATCTACATAGACGCAGAAGAAGCCACGAAGGTCGACCGACTGCCCCGATCGGACACATCACCTGGACACGAATAAGTCGCTATGTTTAGCCATCACGGGGATGCATCAATATGACATTCAAGTGCCTTGGTGGTAGGAAACCCTGGAGGGCACTCATATGTTTCGCGATTTCCTCTTCGCTCGCCCCTTGCAGTTTCGTTTCCCCTTCGATTGCTCGATTAAGTACAGCGTGTGCCACACAGTAAGTCGACTCGTGAGCGGAACATAACACGGCCGGCCGAAGACCAGCGGCCCGTCAGCCTAGCTGGGTAGGACAGACAGAGATCCGGCGCCACACGGCTGAGTGTTGGCCTGCCGGCACGGGCAGCCGCTCGGGCCGCACTCACCGTCTGCTCCGCCCCAGTGGCTGTCGCCGCCGTTCTCCCAGGTGTCCGTTTTGCCGTTGTCCCAGGTCTGCGAGGCGCCGCCGTCCCACTGGCCGATCTCGGTGTCGCGCTCGCCGTCGCCCCAGGTGGCGCCGCCGCCGCTAGCCGCCGGCGCCGGGTCCGCCGCACGCGACGCCCACGCGTTCACCTCGGGTGCGGGCGGCGCCGGCTCGGCGGGCGCGGGCGCGGGCGCGGCGGCGGCGGGCGGGGCGGGCGCGGCGGCCGGCGGCGGCGGCGCCGCCGGCTCGTGGTTCGGCAGCGGGATGGGCGGCGGCGGGTTGGGCGTGGTGTCCACCACTGCGCCGGCGTACACGGCGTTGGCGGCGGCCAGCTCGGAGAGTGCTGCCGCCGCCGGCAGGCCGGCGAAGTTGGTGTTGGTGAACGTCTGCGACGGGATGGCGTGGTACTCGGCCGCCGGGAAGCGCACGGCGGCCGGCTCCACGGCTGCCGGCTCGGCCGGCCGCAGCAGCTCAGATTCCTGCAGGAAGTTGATGCTGGGCTGCGGTGGTGGCGCCGGCGCCGCCACCGGCACCGGCATCGGCACGGGCACCAGGCCGGCCGGCGGCGCGGCGGCGGCAGGGTGCAGCAGCACCTCCTGCGGGTAGGGCGGCGAGTCGCCGGCCGAGCCGGGCGCCGGGCCCGGCGCCAGCGCCACCTGCCCGGCCGGCGGCTCGGCGGCGGCCGGCTCCGGCGGCTCAGCGGCCGCCGCCTCGGGGACGGCCGGCGCCGCGCCCTCCGGCTGCAGCCCGTTCTCCGGCTCCGGCTCTGGCTCCGGCTCCGGCTCCGGCTCGGCCTCCGGCTCCGGTTCGCTCAGCACGCCGCTCTCGAACACGGCCTCCAGTGTCTTGGCCAGCGCCTCGTAGGTGGTGCCGGATATTTTCTTTTGCGACCGGTCGGCCAGCCTGAGCAGGTGCTCGGCAGCCGTGGACAGCTGGTCCTGCGGCACGACACGCGGCGGCCCGGTCAGCGCCGACGCACACACATCACACACTCACGGCAACACAATAGCCCATAACCCCCCCCCCCTCCCCAGATAGTTATGCGCGCCAGCACCAGGAGATCACAGTAGAATCTCCCGGTAGATTTTAGCAGCAAAAGCCCGGCGTGCTCACAGTCACCCAACGGGCCGTGCCACCGCACACTGGTCGGAAACGCTCCAGCGAGAGGCCAGCGGCCTTTCCGCAAAAGTTTTTTGCTTGTTATTCCACAACTAGTGAAGCAAACTCCATAAAACTTTGCATACCTTCTCTGTCATATGTGAGCTATCATTTGGATGTCAGACACTAAATATATGACGTGAATCTGTTAAGTTATGACGTCATAATTGAGTATAATACAGGATCTAGCACCACTTTAAGTCAACAAGGGAAATTGGGAGCTGCTATTCGGGCACCGGGAATGGTTTCATGCACTCCTTGCAAGGTCCAGTGCTTCACTTTAGCATTGTTGACTTTGCGTGACGTCATTTATGACGTCACTAAGGCCATATTAGGTTTTCGTCAATAACTCCTGATCAGATGGAGCTAGAGAGTCGGGAAAGCCACCATAGGACTCAGGAAGACCTGCCGAATCGAATGATATACGATATGACCTCCTTCAACCATTTTCGTGACCTGAGGGGCTCCGACCTGACCTTGACCCGAGGTTAACACCTTAAGTTGACTTCACCCGAACACCAAGTATAGCATTCAACGCGCCTGAGCTAGACAAACACGATGATGCCAAAATCGCGGCAGTGCGACAATTTTTGGCAAAGTAATTAACCTAAAACCGAGCCCGTGCCTTGTGGCACTTACCTGACCTAAGAGGCCACTGGCTGACCTAAGACCTTAAAATCGGGTAGTACCTAATTGTTGCGTCTTATAACGGCACACAAGCTCGTTTTTTCCGCGAGGCTCTAGCTCAATTAGAGGCGAAACGGCGAGGGAGTTGTACCAACCCTCCCCGGTCAATATAGAAAACCAATCGGTCCGGCCAGGGTTAAATACCGGAATTGTGATCTAATGTAAAAAGACGGCCCAAGGTAACCCGACGTCAGTGACAGGTGTCCTATATTTGCAGCGTCTTATATTCACGAAGGTTTCAATTTCCACTTTCTTCAGCCGAGTGATGGCTGTCAATAGCAAGGCTCTCTAAATGCAAGCCGTAATCGCCACGCAATATGTGGAAGGCTTTTGATGTCAATGCATACATAAATGCATACATAAAACGCGCTTTTCACAAAATTCATAAACTCAAGCGCATCTGTTTTTAATGACCAGTCAACTACGCATGGATGCGTGCAGGCCACACAGGTCAGCGTAAGCCGGGCGCGGCGGCCGAGCCGAAACTGGGGCGGGGCGGGCGGTACTTGGGTAGGAAGAGCGGCTCCTGCAAATTTTGCGCAAATATGCGCAGTTAGCTTTTATGTTGCCCTGGTGTAAATTTAAATCCTGCTTCAGCTCACAAAAAATCAGAGTGGGACTAGATGGGACTACCTGTTGTTTCCTTACCTAAACTTTGCAGTTATATTCCAGAATCACTGTAGGAGAGCCTTCATAAAAAAGCTACAGTAAATCATAGTTAGGGAAAAAGTATACCAAAAATTTTGCACTGACCAGTCGGCAACTTCATAACGAACATTTTGATGCATAATATGTGGGATTTCAATTTGGTGTCTATCAGCAATAAGACTCTGAATATCCGGCTCAAGAAACCTCTTGCTCCGCGTCAGTTTCCGAGTTCCCGGATACCCCATCTTTGGGGGCTGATTACAGTTATTTTTGGTCACCCGGATTAGTTTTCTTGGCCTAAGTATAATAATTTGATCAATTTCAAATCGATCTATATAAAAAATAATCCGAAACTCCGGAATCGCCCGTGGCCTCTCGTGAGGGCGTTTCCGACCAGTGTGCACCGGCCGACTGCACCTGGCTGCGGCTGCCGACTGTTCCCCGCAGCTGCGCAGCATCCCCGCCAGCAGCACCGCGCACCCAGCGCCACAGCGACTCGAACCCGGGCCCTCCCTGCCCGAGTCAGGGGCACTGTCTCCCGACTCTGAGTCAGCTGCCAGCTATAACTACGGCGCAGGTGTCAAACTGAGCCGGTCCAGGGGAGGGGAGGGGAGGGTAGGGCCGGCCCTCCCACCGCCGGGCAGCGCCCACCTTGAACGGCACGTCCGTGTCCTCGCGGCTGGGGGTGACCAGCTTGAAGATGGTGTCGATCTGCTGCAGCGCCGCGTCGCTCAGCTGCGGGGCGCCGCGCGCGCCCGCCAGCAGGTCCTCTCGCACACGGTCATCGATGCCCATCAGTGTGTCCTGTGGACGGGGCGTCAGTGAGCAGTAGCACTTCCCGGCAGGGTCCGTCCACAATGTCCAGCGCCGGCTGCGGTCAGCCCGTGGCCGCCCTGTTCACGGTGTACAGTGTAGAGACCGCCCGCTCCAATTCCAGATAGCAGTATCCCTCCCATCCCCAACAGCATCGGCCGTCACAGCCGACACAGAGCGATACACAAACACCGACACAGCGCAGTACACAAACACCAACAGTCGACACAGAGCGATACACAAACACCGACACAGAGCGATACACAAACACCGACACAGCGCCGTACACAAACACAAACACCGCCACAGAGCGATACACAAACACCGACACAGCGCAGTACACAAGCACCGCCACATAACGATACATCAGTCATGCAAACTTCTCTGCCGCGCAGCGACTCAGCGCGTGAGCTGACGACCCTCTGCCCTCCTGCCGACTGACCTGGAGCATCAGGATGCGCCGCACGCGCTCCAGGTCGTGCTGCAGCCGCTCCTGTTTGGCGGCCTGTTTGCGCTGCCGGTCGAGCTTGGCGTGCTCGTCGTGGTGGGTCTGCAGGCGCGCCAGCGTCTGCTCCAGGAAGGTGATGTTGCCGGCCACCTCGGGCAGCTTGGCGGCCGCCTGCACCTGCTCCACCTCCAGCTGCTTCTCCAGGCCAGCGTCCAGCTTCTCCTTTATGGCCGTCAGGTTTTTCTGCAGCGCCACCGGCCATGCGCACGTCAGGCAAAGGTAACGACGGAGAACAAGCAGGGCTATCAATTTCAGCCAAGACCTGGTTGAAACTGGTTTAAACCAGGGTTGGAAGGGAAAGGCAAAACTGGTTTTTGCCAGTGGTTTTAATCAGGGGCGTCGCTACGGCTCCCTGACTTATACGGACACATTCTGTTGGTCGCCACACTCGTCTGAGACGTTAGCCTCATCAATTGTTATCTGCACTGCAGTCAACCAAACGTTCTGCGTTTCGCATGCCGTATTCAACGGGAAATCAAATTTGAATGGAGACTCGCGGGCCGTAGGTTGCCGAATCCTGCTCTAAAGTCTAAATAATCGAATAACAGGTAAACACGACACATAAAATCGGAAAATTTCCACCCATGACCCCTCGTAATGTCCTCAAGGCCATCTCAGGTCATGGAAGGTCTCCAGCAGTTTTGACCATCACTTTTGATAGAGACATGCTAGAGCGATGAATACGCCTTAGTTCAATGACCTTGACCTGCGGTCAAGTTTTCAAAATGATCTTTGAAAGTCAAACTATAGTTCATTCGACGCACCCCGACGAGAGGAGCACAAAGCTGGCAAAAGCAATACCGTGGCATCTTGGGTCAAAAGTTATTAAAGATAAACATTCTTCATTGTAACGGCTCAGTAGTGGTGTGTGTTTACCCCCCCCGTCCCGGCGCCGGTTAAGAGTTTTTACCCTCTGGAGGCTAGGCCGTTGGTCTTGGAAAAAGCTGAGGAGGCTAAATGATAGGGTTAATTTAAACTTTGTTACACATTTTCTATCTTTTAATATAGGACGAACGGTATTCTATATAAAATAATGTTTGGCGAGGAATCTTATTACGCGTTGGCCACTCATATTGCGTAGTTTAACCCTCGCCCTGGCAGAGCATTTTTCATAACACGGCCTAACAGGGGGGGGGGGGGTCGATGCGACCTCCCCTTCACGATTGGCTCCTATGGCACATAGTAACACCAAATTTGGTAGGTAAGTGGGCGGCCCACTGGCGGTCCCAGGGGGGGGGGGGGGGCACGGGGGCCACGGCCCCCCCTTTGGTGCTGAAAGGTGGGGCCATACTATCTTTTGGCCCCACCTTTCAGATCGAACAAAAGTCCTAGAAAAGCTTTTCGTATGTTTCATTTTCTTTCTTGCACCATCAAAGGACGTAAATTTCACTCATGAGTGGGCTCAGTTTCGCATTCTGTCAATTTGGTGGTCAGCGTCGCTGGCACCGGTTCACGAGTATGGCCGGATCTTATACGGAATATCAGCGTGGGTTTACTTGAGGCTCTCGTAGGCCCAGCAATGGCTGGCGGGTTGGTGCTGTGCACCTCAGAAGCCCGGTGGTGACGCCGTATGCCGGCTTGGTTTCTTAAGGATTAGCGTGGGAACTCCGGGGCCTGCATAGAGTTTGCATGAGCTAGTATGTAATCTCAGAGGCATGTGTGTAATGTGTACACAGTGGCGGTCGCGGGGGTGGGGGGGCATCAGGGCCATGCCCCCCCCCCAAGGTCAATAAAGTGGGCCATCATATCATTTGCCCCTCCCCCCTCAAACAACCAATGGGCCCCCATATAGGTGTATGGGGCCCTGGCAATTATTCGATCGTCACGAAGCTAAAAAAAACCCACGCCCAGCTATTAATATAGCTCCCACACCGGTCTTTGAGCGTCCTACACTGACCTCTGAGGGAACGTCAGTGGCGGTCAAGTGCCCACGTTGACCGCTAAGAGCCTACATCAACCTCTGAGACCCCACATCTGGCCTATGAGGGCCCCTAACAGGCCTCAGGGGTCCCAACCGGCGTCTGAGGGTCTCACACCGGTCTCTGGTGGCCTTATTTCTGTCTGTGGTGTCCCAAGACGAACCTTAAGGTGCCAATGAGGGCCCCGCACTGGCTGCTGAAGACCCGATGCCGGCCTCTAAGGGCCTGCATTGGCATTTGAGGAGGGCCCATCTTGGCCTTTGAGGGCCCTCTGCTGGCCTCTGGGGTCTAACGACGGCTCATGCCGGTCTTTTAGGGCCCCACGCTGACCTCTGAGGGCCCATGTTGGCCTGTAATAACCCACATTAGCCTCTGAGAGCCCAACTCGGTCACTGATTGTCTCAAACTACTGGCCTTTGTAGTTTGCAGGCCCTGTACTGGTCTCTGAGGGCCCTAAACTGGCCTCTACGTGAAAACATATATGGGTGGGTTTCTGAAGATCAGAGGGCTCACGCAGTCTCCGGCACAGCCTTACGTTGGTCCTGATCGAGATTACTTTGCGTCCTGATGGTCCGGCGCAGATTCCCTCATATTTCGACGTCGGGACCCCATGAGCCGGTGTGGGTCCTGGGGCTGGCAGAGACTGATGAAGTCCTTAGGGCTCAGGGCCAGTCTTTTTAGCAGTAAGACTAGGCAGGTTGAGTGAGCCCCAATAGAGCCGCTGCGAAGCCCCGCAAGAGTCGCGCGCAGCCCTCAGATGCCAATTTTGAAAGCTCGGAACCTGTGGGGGGTCTCCAGAGGTCGGTCGGTGTACCTACTCTCTCCCGCCGCCACACAACTAGGTATGTTACCTATATGAGTAAATGTCATAGTCTGAAAATGCTCTCTGGGTTTCACATGCTTGTTCAAAGCAAGAGGTATCTGTACTTTTACGAATTGTTTTATAGTGGTAAGGTCATGAATCCGCGTGCCTGACCTTCCAGTATACCTATGCTACACCGATCCGTCGTCATGGTGCAGTGGGCCGACCGGTGGAAGCACCGTGGGACGGGAAATGGAACTGGTGATTTTGCCTTAAATTGAGCTTAAAAATTTCACGCAAGAATCAGATGGATGAAGCATAAGTAATGCCAACTGCGCGGCACCTCGTGGACGTAAAAAATTAGCCGATCACCCCCCCCCCCTCCCGGTGACGGATAAATGTTATGTCCCGCGAGTGTGACTTTGGCCCCCCCTTTTGCTAGCGGCTGCGACCGCCAGTGAGTGGGCCCGCTAGAGTTCTCGCCCTTGTGCAAATTTGGTTGCTCCAGGTCAATATTAGTTTGATGTAATATTATTTGTAATATTATTTGTATTGTAATATTAATGTAATATTAATATTATTTCAAATGTAATATTATTTGTATAATGTAATATTATTTGTATTGATGTAAAATTTCGCCCTAAAACAGGTCAAAAGTTTTTCGCTTATAACCTTTGATCTAATTAACCCGCATCGGGCCGGGGGGAGGGTGTTTGAACACCCCCTTCAGTTTTTGGCACACATGTTCATTCATCTTTTCTACACATGTTGTGAAAATTTCAGACCCAGGGCTCTCAAAGTCAGGTCACCAGGTCAGGTCAAGTGACCTTACCTCAGAAAAAGTTTCAATCCTCGTCATAGCTACACCGACTGAACGATCGCTTTGAAACTTTCAGTGATCTTTTTAAACAAAAACCATCATCGTATATTGACTCAACATACAAAAGAAAAACAATTCGAAACACTGAGCAGAGAAATATACCAAGGAACGCCTCGCATACGACAGTCACCTGTAAGCAAACGCCTATTACTTCTGGCGTTCGCTCGATCCACATTAATCGGAATAGGCGCTGGCGTCTTACGCACGATGCTTGGCAAACACTTCCTCCTCCAGGCATTTGTCACTTCTTTCTTAGCGAAGTTAAACACCGCCTCCCTTTCCCCGGTCACCGATATTGGCTTCCTGGCCGGCCGCCATGAGCTTGATAGCCAACCGCTGTCAGCTCGCAATCCTACCGATATCGACTCGCCAGCCAGCAGCCATCGGCTTGCCAGCTAGCCACCATTGGCTTACTAAGCCGTCGATAGCATCTCGCTAGCCAGTCGCCAGCAGCCCGCTAGCCTGCCGATATCAGCTCACTAGCCAGCTGTCGGAATCTTATTGGCCTTTTCAACGAAAAAAGAAAACATTTGCAAAAAAAGTGAGGTATTCCATCCAAGCCGAGTGATGAAACTACCGTTTTGGCAACCTGGAATAAAGGTTTTAATCTGCCAAATGAGTTGCCGAGCCAGGAAAGAGGTGGATTTTTCACTTGCATGCTTTCTTCCTTTGTGACCCACAACCCCTGGAGGGATCCAGAGCGTCGTAAGCCTCGTCGTAGCTGCGACGTGTCGCAAGTTGTGTAGTAAGGCGTTTTTGGAGGGATCAATCGATGAGTAACGTTACTTAAGTAGTAAAGTCTGTCGCAAGTTGCCTGATTTGCGACACAACTACGAATTTGAAATAGCAGTCGTAAGTTGTGTCGCAAGTTAACCTTGCTTTGAGGAAAAGGTCACAGGTCAAAGGTCATTCGGGTCATGGTCACGAAATTTAGATGGTAGGTGTAAAATTGTTTGAACTTGAGATCCTGAAAATTTGGTTACAATCCGTTGACGCTAACGCGAGTTATAGAGCTTGAACCGACGGGTCGTCTGTCAGGGCTCAATCCGTGCCAGCGAGAGTGTTGAAAATGGTGCATAATATGTTATATTCACATTCAGTGGGTTATTCAGAGATATAAAGTAGCCTTACACCATTCCAGCAACTACTTGAGAGTCCAGAAAGGCGGTCTTGGACGTTGCGGAGGGCACCCCCAAAAAGATTCTCCCAATTCCAAAAACAACGTGTCCCAGATGACCCCCATGACCTCCAGTTGAGCTCTGTGATGACCCCAGTTGACCTCTGTGATCTGCCGTGTCTCAGATGACCTCCGCGACCTCCAATTGAGCTCTCATTACTCCGAGCTGACTTCTGTGACCTGACGTGTCCCAGATGACCTCCAATTGAGTTTTGTGATGACCCCAAGTTGACCTCTGTGACCTGACATGTCCCAAATGACCCCTGTGACCGCTAAGTGACCTCTCTGATAACCCCAAGCTGACCTCTGTGACCTGACGTGTCCCAGATGATCTCAAATTGAGCTCTGTGAACATGTCTCATATGACCTCTGTGACCTCTACGTAACCTCTATGATGACCCCAGTTGATGTCTGTGACTTGACATGTCCCATATGACCTCTAATTGAGCTTCTATGACTCCGAGCTGACCTCTGTGACCTGACATGTCCCAGATGATCTCCAATTGAGCTCTGTGATGACCCCAAGTTGACCTCTGTGACCTGGCATGTCCCATATGACCTCTGTGACCTCTAAGTGACCTCTCTGATGACCCCAAGCTGACCTGTGACCTGACGTGTCCCACATGACCTCTATGACCTCCAATTGAGCTCTGTGATGACCCCAAGTTGACCTCTGTGCAGGGGTGTCATTTTCCAAAAATGATTGGTAGGGCCCAAAGGCGGCGGCCGGCCATACTCGTATGTGACGGGGCTTACAAAGTAGGAATCCTCGGTCAGACTTGATGGATCCACTGGTAGGTACTTTGCACGGTACTTTCAAGACAGACTGTACAGTCCAATGTTGGAAACAAGGTCCTTTGCTGGTCCCATTCGGGTTCAAACGATGTTATTCTCCTTTACAAATTTATACTACGGCACCTGAAATTTCCTAAACTTCCGGCCTGCGTGAAGAAAAATTGCTATTATTACACATAAAACATGCAGCTATAGCTGCATAAAGTGATTGAGAGAACACATTTTAACAACTGTCACATTTAGTAGGCCAAATATGTGATTTTCCTGGTGAGTGTTCTACAAGCTGGCCGGTTCTCCGGACAGATTTTATGCTCCGGGATCAGGACCAAAATTCACAATTCCAACATTGGTACAGTCTGTCTTAAAAGTACCGACTGTACAGTCTGTCTGAAAAGTAGGTACCACCACCAAAGTAGGCACCATTTTAAGACAGACTGTACAGTCTGTCTGAAAAGTAGGTACCGCGCAAAGTGACAGTGACGTGCCCTAATCCATGAAGAAGAAGAAGAAGAAGCAAAGTGACAATGGATCCATCAACTCAAACTTGGCAGTCCTTCATCAGTCAGGCTTGATGGATCCACAGTCACTGCACGGTACTTTTAAGACAGACTACCTACATACCCTTTATAAAGAAAGCTTTACTTTTAAGTGTTGATGGTACCATTTCAGAACGACTGATGTATGCGCAAATAAATCCAAGCATATATATTCAGCGTATTTTTGCCTGCTACACGTGGTCCCTAACGACAAAGAAAGCCATAATAGTAGACCAATATGGCGCAAAAACGGAACAGTTTCCTACGCCCGTTTTACTTACTTTACGCTGCTCCATATTCTTGATCTTGAATTTAAGATATGTCATAGCCTTTTGGAAGGGATCGGCGTTCTCAGAAGCCATGTTTTCCTGCTTGACTTCGACGGAAGGCATTTTGTTAAAGAAAGCAACGTACGAGCGCCCCCGCAAGACGACGGAAGTGAACTTCACAGCAACTCACAGCTACCATATGACATGTGAAGCCTTTCTATAGAGGAATTTCCCTAACCTGTTTTCCCATTGCGTATCTATTTGTGCCTATTTATTAGGTACTGCAATTTTTACCTTTCTTAACCGTACGTTGTTGTGAATGGGACAAAGGTCATTTGGCATATAGCAAGTGTCAAGACCTCTGTCAGCATTTTAGGTATTTAATATGACGTCACTTTGAATAATATTTCGTCTTTTGCAAATAACATTACTTCACGCAAATAGTGCTGCCATATCTCACAAAGCGTTTTCATACTGGCGCACTTTGATGTGATCTGTGATAGTGTCTGTGATTCTGGAATTTGGAATTATTCAAGGCCCTAAATACAAGGTTGCACGGACTAATTTCTACTAAATCTACCAGAATATAGTTTCATGGTTGGGTATTTTAATAACTAGTCAATCAAAACTTCTTTATTATTTTCTCGTTATCATTTATAAGCAATTTTATCAATTGACTTTCAATTTGCTTGCCTTTTACTGGCAAAATAACTTTCTAGTATTGGGTCAACATAGTTGTGTAGCAGTAGGAACCATATCTGGCAAAACCCCAATGCCTACATACAGCAGAAAAGCAGCCACCAGGTGTCGCCACAGTCGCCACTTGGTCGCCACACAGATGTCGCGCGCGTCGCCAATCGCCACACTACCGATTCCCATAAGGACGCATATGTACGCATATGTATTGGAAAGTCGCCCTTAAGGATTACGCTTACATCCTTTGCTTATGAGGTCGGTGGTTGGAAATTGGGAGGGGTTCAGCTATTTTCGACCACGGATATGGCTTTATCACATGATGAGGAACATGCTGATAAGCGTTTTATGTGTCATAACAGCACATAAGTATTTTTAATCATTTTTCAAAAATAGCCGTTCTGCCGTATCTTTCAGTGCAAGGTGCCGTCGGTCATCCCCGACGTTACGTCACGCCGGGGATTGCCAGATTTTCCTACTAGACTTCGACGCCCCCTGGAATTATTAATCGTCGGTTACTTCCCAGTCGTTAAAGGGACCCTCCCACCTTAACACTAGATTTGAGTTGAGATAGCCAAAATGGGGTCCCTGGCTCACAATTACCGGTTTCGGCACTCACAACATCGAGAAATGCCTTAAATCGGAAATATTGAACTTCAAAATTGCAGCATTTTGATTCAGAGGGGCTAATGCATAGGAATACCCCTCTGAATGTGTGACGTCAGCGCAGATATCTAACGATTTTTAAATGTTTGACTAAAACGTTTTGTAGCACGCGGTGGTATATGCTGCTTTGCGCGCAACAAATGCCGCACTTTCAAATAACGTCGCTAGGAGCAGCGGATATCCCAAAAAGTAAACAAAAGTAAAAGTCTAATATCTTGAAAACCGGTGAATATTTTTCGATGAAATTTGGTAGATATTTGTTTTTGCTCTTTCTGAACCGAGCGACATCACTTTCATGCCAATTCATTAACTTTTTTGAAGGTGGGAGGGTCCCTTTAAACACATTCTCGCGAGACACGTGGCTGGAGGAAGACGTTTCTGGCGATCCGGGGCGATAGCGAAGGCGGTGTTTTTCCACTTAGATTCTTATTGATTTGTATCTTTCCATTGATAATTTCAATTATATACTGAAAAGGTTTCTCTTTCTTACGCTTTCGGAAGGTAAGGTTGAGGTGTGTGGATGGCATAGGACTTAAGATGGGGCCTAATAGGGCCAGTAAGAGGGTAAGGGCCGATGATCTGACTGATAGTTTCTGGGGGGAGGAGGAGTCTCAGTCTGGATCCTACCTCTCAGTGAAGCTCCTAGCAGGTAGATCTCCTAGAGAAAAGGGATGGCCATGGATACAACAATGCATCAGAGGGATTCTTGGGGGCACGGAGAAAGTTGAAAAGGCTAGCTTCATGAGTGATGGACGGTTGCTGGTGAGGACTAAGACTAGCACCCAGACTGAGAAACTTCTCAAAGCTCGGATGTTCGGAGACATGGAATGTGTTGTAGAACGAGAGGAGAGACTAAACCAGAGTCGGGGAACTATCCATGCAGTAGACCTGATTGATCTGTCTGAGGAAGAGATTGTTGGATGGCTGACGGAATTCGGGGTGGTGGCCGCTAGGCGATTTACCAGGAGAACCGGAAGCCGTATCGAAAGAACCCCGACTATCCTTCTTACATTCAACAGACCCACGTGCCCCACAAAACTTGACTTTGATTATGTGACCTACAACGTGAGGCAGCATATCCCGAACCCATTGATGTGTCTACAGTGTGGGAGATTTGGCCACATTCAGGCCAGATGTCAATCAGAGGTGAAATGCCTCACATGCGGGGACAAAAAACATGACGGCACATGTGAGCAGAAATGTCTCCACTGCGGGGATACTGGGCATGATGGGCTCTCTCGGCAATGTGAAGTGTGGAAAAAGGAGAAGCGTGTATGTGAAATCAAGGTTAAAAAAGATGTGTCCTATGCACACGCCCGCCGTATCATCGCGGCTGAAACCAGCTCCCCTACCTTACGATCCTATGCTTCGGTAGTAAGGGGTAGTAGTGATCCGCCATCCGACCCAACATTTAAGACTGAACTCCGTGTGATTGGGGAGAAACTCGACAAAATGATCACTCTTCTGGACAGGGTCCTTAAGCTTCAAGGGACTGAGGCTGAGGCAAATCAAACACCAACAAAAGTGCAAACGGTGACAGGAGAGCAGGAAGGTGCTGAGGACACTCAGACCCAGTCACAGTCTGACATGTTCATGGACCCCATGGAATCCCAATTGGTGATAGAGGGCTCACAGGAGCCCTCACCACCCTCAGACACTGAGAGGAGCACTCCACCAACAAACAAAGACACTCTGACTGGTTCCTCTCAGCGAGTAATCCGACAGAGCTGGACACCGCAGGTGACGCAGAACACAGATGAGGTCGAGGAGAGGAGTGAAAGAACCCAAAAAGCCCATCCTGACTCTGAGCAGTCATCAATGACAGAGACATCAGATATCCCTGCTGATGGGGTATCGCCATCCCCTGAGCTTGGCAAAAAACGTCAAGGAGGGAGACCTGGAAGGGACAGGCGAATGCCCAGCCTGTCCAGGAAACCCAAACCCTAACGTAACTTTTAGCACTAAAACACAAAACTCTTTTTTTTTTCTTCTTTTTTTTAAAACGTAGAATCAAGACGTCTTTATTTCTACTTGTATTTCGGTTTGTTAACTTACATGTGCTGATCAAACAACCACACAAGCTGAGGTGGTTGATGATCAGCTATCTTGTTTCCTATGGAAAATGGTACAATATCAGCATCATGACTGATACGAACCAGATAGTAGCAGCCAGCCCAATTATTCCCAAGGAGTGGGAACTTATGAGTGGTGAATTGTGTTCTGGCTCGACTAAGAAACTCTGACAAGGGTCTTACAATGGAATGCCAGAGGACTGATCGGAAAGTGGGCAGAAGCCAAACAAATGTTTTTGGACGGTAATTACCAGGTGATCTGTATTCAGGAATCTCACTTTATGGCCAATGACAGATATTGTTTTGACTTACCACATTATTCTTTATACAACGCATACTCACCTCAAGGTGACAGGAGAGGAGGTGTATCGATATATGTATCAAATCGCCTGCCGCACATGGTATTACCTATACAGAGCAATTTACAGGTGGTAGCCTGCTCCGTAAGGCTACAGAGGGAAAGAATTACATTCTGCTCATTGTACTTGCCCCCAACTGACAACTTCTCATTTCAGGATATATCCCTATTAATCCAGCAACTCCCTAAACCATTTGTAATATGTACAGATGCAAACAGCAAACATTTCATGTGGGGAGCTGCGCAATGTGACAGACGGGGTTGCATCTGGATGGATGTTGTCAACCATCATAACCTACATGTTTTGAATGATGGACAGCCAACTAGACTGGATGAATCCACAGGAGATACGTCCCATATCGATTTGACAGTGGTATCAAACGATATCTCTCACATCCTTGAATGGGACACTGAAAAAGACCTATATGCCAGTGACCACTACCCCATACGTATAGATGTCGGTAATCCTACGGCCTACACGAACTTGCCCCCTGTTTTTTATGGATGGAACACGAGGAAAGCTAACTGGACGGAATTTGAAATGAAATGTGATTTCAAATTCAATCCTAACCTTGGACTGGAGAACTGTGATGAAATAACTCAAACTATTATTGACACTGCCCAGAAGTTTATACCCACCCGAAATGGTAACACCAAATACTCGTGTCCGTGGTGGACGGATGACTGCAGGAACGCAATTCTGACTAGAAGGAGAGCTCATAACAGAATGAGGAGAGACCCTCATTCCCAATTCCTACGAATTGAGTATAGGAAAGCGAAGGCTAAGACACGACGGACTATTAGAGATGCACAGATCCGCTCATGGCAGGAGCTGCTATCAGTGTTTAACCACAGAACCCCGATGGGGAAACTGTGAGATATAATCCGTAAGTTCTCGCAGAAGCATCGATACATGAGACCTCTCCCAGTTATTATGCATGATAACGAGATTATTGACGACCCTACTGAGGTGGCAAATCACTTCGGGAGGTATTTCTCGAATATGAGCTCGAGATCGAACTACCCCCAAGCCTTTCTTGACTGGGAACGTGAATTAGCAGAAAACTTACCTGAATTTGGGGATGAGAACTACGAGGATTACAACAAAGAATTTACAATGAGAGAACTTACTGACGCTATTAAACGATCTGGCTCTACATCTATCGGGCCGGACAAGGTTCACTATGATTTCTTCCGACATATGCATGAGACACAGCTGATTGAACTGCTTCGTTTTTATAATTATGTATGGGTGAATGACGTGTTCCCCGACGCATGGAGACATTCTTACATCATACCCATCCTTAAAGGGACAGTATCACCTTTTTGATGAAATTTGACATTGCATAGGCCCCACCTTTCTGGTCCGGGAACTGAAGACCGATCCTCGAAGCTCCACACCGTTATCCCGCTATCGCCGCTCAAAGTACGAAAGGTGTACCACACTTTGAATCGTGCTTCACTATCTTCACTGTTTAAATGTTTGCGCCGTTTTGAATTGACCGCCAGTAATAAAACTTTTACCCTGGTCATTTCATCAAATTTTATAAAGCCAAAACGTTTTTCGCACTTATTCATCACCGTTAAATTCATTAAATAGTCGTAGGCAATTTCCGCTGTTTCCTCAAGGCCATCTATAGAAGGTACAGTCACTCCCCCGCCGACCAATCAGAGACAGATCCTGAGTGACGTCACCCCTGATGCTCGCAAGGGGTACTCCATTCCTTTGCAACGTAAAAATGACTAACTTCATTTGAAGATTATTGATGGCACTCTACACATACCGCTCAGCTGTTGATGTCAATGGAAAGCCCAACTAATTTTCCAGCGACAAAAAAGAGCAGCAATATGCTAAGAAATGGCCGGTTTTGAAGATATAGACGATTTAAAAACCCTCTGCAGCAGCAGGAAAGCAACGTAAAAACGCATCGAGCTTATATTTTTACTATGGATAATTCATTTTCAAGTAAGTTTTTAGATATGCTATAGATTTAAGTTACAACTTTATTACAATATTTTCATTACTTGAAACTTTATTTCAAAATAATATTTTCAAAAATGGCAGTTGTTGGCCAGTAGCTTGGGAGCGATTGTGGCGCACCGCGCCATTAATTGTCCTGAGACCCCCTTATGATGTCATCAAAAGTGGAGTGACATGGGCCTGTGTTTCCTTCGGATTCTAGCGGCTCAACAAAGGAATTCCTCCAGCTTGAATCACAATCTCCCTCCAATGTATGACGTTTATCACGTGATTGTCACGTGATATTTTCTCCCATTGTCAATTGTCACGTCCAATTGTCACTCCCTCCAATTGTCACGTTATATTTTTATAGGCAATACCTAAGGCTACCTCTCCCTAAGGACAACTCAATTAGAAGAACGACCGCGTAAGCGTAGCGTCAATAATGTATTATCTGCGCCAGTTCTGTAGTAATTTTGCATGCTTCCAAACTGGCGGCCATGCTTGTATAGTGGTGGTTCGCTCATGAAAATGAATCATGAAAATGAAATGTGGTTGCAATATTTTTCACCGAGTTCGGTCCTCAAACTATGTTTTTCTGATTCAGAAAAATAAGAAATGCTAGTAAAAAAAAAATCAGCTCCATACATGGATTTTTTTTTCGATGATACTGTCCCTTTAAGCCAGGGAAAGACCGCAACCAAATGCAATCGTACAGGCCTATCCAACTTACCTCTTGTATGTGCAAATTACTAGAGAGGATGATTGGTAAGAGACTGGCATGGTACCTTGAGAAATATGACCTTATATCGACATATCAATGTGCGTTCCGATCAGGAAAGTCTACTGGGGACCACCTAGTGAGACTTGATTCGCACATACGGGAAGGATTCCTTCACCACTGTTCCACCCTCGGTGTGTTCCTAGACATTAAGTCAGCATATAACATGGTCTCCCCAACGGTTTTGTTGAATAGAATGTATGATATCGGCTTCCGGGGCCATATCATGCATTTCATTCGAGGCTACTTGCAAAATAGGACATTCCAAGTGAGGTGCGGAGAGGTATCAGATACGTTTGAGCAGGAATATGGCGTTGTCCAAGGAGGGGTGATCTCTCCATTGCTTTTTAATATTGTGATTGACTCTTTGATTGACGCAATACCAAGAGAGGTCTCTGCTGCTATATACGCAGACGATTGCACTATCTGGGCGCAGGGAAAAGATATCCCACTTATATTTCAGAAAATCCAAAACGCTTTAACCAGAATAGGACAGTGGTCAGAGCGGAACGGTTTTGTATTTTCCCCCATGAAGACTAACGCCGTTTTGTTTAGAAGAGGTTTAAAACGAGTGAACCAGAACCAACTACCTACTCTCAAACTCAACGGTCACCCTATTTGTATTGTGGACCAGGTCCGTTATCTAGGCGTCTTACTTGATTCGAAACTGAGCTTAAATGGGCACATAGAATATGTTAAAGGAAGAGCTCAGAAACGAATGTCGATACTGAAAAGCATTGCCGGAAAAAGCTACGGTGCCGACAGAACTGTGTTATTACGCATGTATAAATCCCTGATCCGACCAATACTCGACTATTCATCTTTTATTTTGGATGGGCCAGGGACTCGGCTTGTGGAGTCCCTTGAGACTATTCAGAACACGGCACTCTGCATTGCCACTGGTGCCTTGCGGACTTCCCCTGTAAGAGCATTACAAGTGGACACGAACGTGGAACCCCTTAGCATTAGACGCCGAGACTTACTAGCCCGGTACTACCTGAAAGTAAAAAGTGATCACAACCACCCCTGCTACCACATAATGGATTTAGACGCTTATGAACTATATGAAGATCTCTCCGACCGCTACTTGCGGAGGATATCGGGTCTCCCAGTATCACTACGACTGCGAAAGCTTTTTACCGAAATAGACTATAATCCTCCCGACATATTGTCTAAGGAAAATGGTATTACAGCACCATGGGTGTTGCACACCGTCCCCACACAGATGCTCATCTCTCAAGACAAAAGACATATGACTGAGACAGATATATTGACTGCTTTTCACGACCTGATGGACAAATACCCGGACCATAGGAAAATGTACACTGACGGATCCAAGCGGAACAACTCAGTAGCATGTGCTTTCACAGTGAACAGTGCCTTTTTCTCACATAAGCTGCGTGATGGGTTATCTGTGTATACCGCTGAACTGGTAGCTGTAAGAGAAGCGATGAAGTTTGTGCGACGTAACCAAGTACCCAAAGCGCTCATATGCTGTGACTCCCAAGCGGTTATCAAGGCTCTCACAGTGCAGAGCCGTGATCATCCGGTCTTGGTGGAGATCCTAGAGATAAATCATAAAAATGTACGAGATGGCATCGATTGCATCGTTGTCTGGGTTCCAGGACATAGTGGCATAGCTGGTAATGTCAGAGCTGACTACTGGGCGGGAAAGGCTCATGATAAACCTAATGTGACTGATGTAAAAATAGGACATCGGGAATTTGTGCCACTGGTGAAGAGTCGCGTCCGTGTGTTATTTGAAAATATGTGGTTAGATTATCGTCCAACTCTACTGAAGCAGATTAAGACAGATATAGGACATTGGAATTCTAGTGTACGTGCCAGTCGAAAGGAGGAAGTGGTTTTGTGTAGGATGAGACTCGGACACACTATTTTAACTCACTCGCATGTTATTGACCAACTACCGCCTATTGTCTGTGAACTGTGTCAATGTCGCCAAGATGTTCAGCACATACTGTTAGAATGCCGAAAGTACACTGTAGCGAGGAGGAGACTCGCAGCGGCGTGTCGAGATGTCGGCGTCCGCATGTCGCTGGGGACTCTCCTGGGAAACGGTGAACCCACGGTGGTGGATGCAGTGTTCGACTATCTTCGACAGTGCAACTTATACGACAAACTCTGAACAAAGGACGTAGAGGCGTTATGGGTGCTAAGTGATGATAATGAAATGTATTTTGTTTCCATATGTGCTATGGCTTCAGATAAGCTCGACACAATCCTTCATGTTATGTTGAATCCAAGAACCATGGATTAGGTATTTCTAGTTTAAAAGAGTGGATTACTACTCGAGCTCATGCATTCATGGTTAAGCAATACTTCATCCATGGTCACGTTGTAAGAACACCTGTCTGAAATGTCTGAAATTGGTTGGGTATGTTATGTGTTTCTATGTCACCCCCATACTGTGAAGTGAAATCCCTAAGTATCGTGTAACCCCCATGTCAAGACCCAAGTTTTGTGTCTTTTTTTTCTTTTTTCTTTCTAGATAGAACCATGCCTTCTCCCAGAACGCCTTTTGCCCCCTTGAAGAATGAGCTGTATTGCTCTTCCTGCTTACCGAGCTGTTTGGCTATCCCCAAGTAGCTAAGACTGTAAGTAGCATTGTAGTATTCACAACTAACATTAACTTCTCTGTTCTCTCCTCGCCCAGGACATATCCTACCAAGGCTATCTCCTAACCATCGCAATTTTTCCTCTCCCCAGTCATTCCTCATCCCTACCCGGAAACCTGCTTAGTTCCGCTTAGTACCACAACCATACGCCTACTGCAACTCTGAAGACTGCAAGAGGACATACCAACTTGGAAGTTGGACGCTTGAGCCAAGCTGCTGCGCGCCCTAACTCTTCAACAACAACAACAACAACCCAGTCGTTAAAGTAATATAGATACGGTAGTTACGGTTAAGGACATTTTCAGGTCAATATGCTCGGAATTATCCAACACTCACTAATTTTCAACCGGCTCATTTCGAGTGACATCACAGCCATACTCTAAAGTCTAAACACTACCGTCTCGACAACTTCAAACCTCTGTTCACCACCTACGTCCGCCCACATCTTGAATATGGTATGCAGGCTGTTGGCCCGTACACTGCAAAGGACATCAAGCTGCTGGAACAAGTTCAAAGGAGGGCGACAAAGCTTGTAAAACCTTTAAGGAGCACACCCTACCCAGAGCGCCTCCGCAGTCTTGGACTTCTTAGCGTAGAAGACAGACTGCGTCGAGGCGACCTCATTGAAACATACAAGCTCCTGACAGGGAAAGTTAAGGTGGACAGTGATCAGTTCTTTGAAGTCGACCATGAAGACCGCACGAGAGGGCATCATCTGAAGCTGAAAAAAGGCAGATCAAGTCATCTATACAGGCTGAAGTTCTTTTCAAACAGAGTAGTTAATGACTGGAACGGATTGCCTAGAGATGTGGTGGAGGCTACTTCTACAAACATGTTCAAACGAAGACTAGACCAACACAGGGCTGCCAAACCTGCATCCTCACGCCACAACTGACCTTATGGCTCATTTCCTAGTCCGGCTCGATGTGAGCATTGAATAGACCTAGTCTACTACAGCTCACTAATGCTCAACTTCAACTTCAACTTCAACTAATTCAATGATACCTAATTCACTAATTGAATTGCTCCTGAAACAGAAATGCGTGTCAATGTTGATGTAGATTCAACGGTAAATGTTCAGAAAAAGTCTGACTCACTTTCAAAACAAATTTTGCATAATTTTATATTGTTTGACATCCTGAATCTAGATATGGGACAGTTGACCGCTCAGCTGTGTGACATTGACATCAGTTGGGGGAGGTTTGGTCAATCGTTGTCATTTTTAGCATGTGCTATTTTTGTCACACGTGCCAAAAATGGCAACGATTCTGCTATTTTTGACAACGATGAAGCCAATTTCACTCTTTTAAGTGAGGAAATCACGATTTTGGAAAGATAAACACTAATTTTCGAAAAGCTGACGTTTTGATAATGTCGTCCATGCACCAGTCCCTTGGTAGATTGCCGTAGTCAACCGACAACGAGGGAACAGTTGTGGTCAGGTTTTCCTCTGCCACGTCTCAGTCGTGCCGCTGGACACTGGGCTTCAGTCGGCGCTGACCTCTAAGCAACAATCGGTTCGTCACACTGGATCGTTTTCTTTGCGAATGTCCTGACTTGCTGTGAGAACGAGAGGAATTTGATAAATGTTGCAATGCGGCAAGGGCGCTGGGGCCTGTGCCGCAGGCGAGTTGGTGTTGAAAACTGACGATCAGCTTGGTTGGCTTGTTCACCAACTGCCCTGAGCGAGCATACCGAAGAGATAGTTGTTTTGTGTGCACTATTCAATAAAATGTGATATGGTCCAAGTGTGATTCGTGCCGCACCACTTTGACAGTCGCTGTCGTCTGTGGCGTGTTGCAGGCGGCGCCGGCCGGACTCTGAGCGCTATGTCGAAACAGCCGCTGTCGGCGCCGTGCCGCAGTCGATGCGCACACGTGACCTCCATCGGGTCGGAACTGACGCCGACAGACGTGGAGGCGCGCCGCCGCTCCGGCGCCTGCGACTGGTGCGGCCGTCAACAGCCCAACTTGTGGCTCTGCCTGCACGCCGGCTGCGCCAAGCTCGGCTGCGGCGATCGGGAGGACCACAGCGCCGAGCACCACCGCCAGCTGCCGCATCACTGCCTGGCGCTCAACGTGACCACCATGCGCGTCTGGTGCTATAACTGCCAGACGGAGGTTTACCTGGAGAACAACGTGCCGCCGGTGAGCGGCGCCGGCGCGCCCGTCGCCGTCGATCAGGTGGACGTGGCCGACGTGGGCTCCAGCGAGGACGACGACGAGCAGAGCGACGCCGAGCCGCCATGCGGACTGACCGGCCTGCGCAACATCGGTAACACGTGCTACATGAACGCGGCGCTGCAGGCGCTCTCCAATCTGCCGCCACTGACGCGCTACTTTCTCGACTGCGAGCGGCTGGTGCCCACCGACCGGAAGCCGGGCCTGGCGCGCGCCTACCTGCGCCTGGTGCAACAGATCTGGAGCCGGCGGCGCGTCAGTTGCCTGGCGCCTACGGCCGTGCTGCAGGCGATGCGCTCCGCGCACCCGCAGTTCCGCGGCTTCCAGCAGCACGACAGCCAGGAGTTCCTGCGCTGCTTTATGGACGTGCTGCACGACGAGCTGCGCCGGCCGGCGGCCTGGCGGCCTGAGGATGACGCCGAGCGGCTAACCGAGCCAGACGGCGGCGACGCGAGCGCCTCGGACTCGGCGCTCTCAGACGCCGAGACGGACGGTGACTACGAGACGGCCGACTCGGGCGTCAGTGAGCGCTCCAGCGACAGCGAGTCGGCGGCGCCGCGCCGCCGCCGCCGCCGCCACGTGTACACCCAGCGCTCGGCGCCGCTCCCGGCCGCCGACGACATGGAGTTTGCCGACGCCGAGTCGGCGCCACTGCTGCCGGCCGAGCCGTCGGCGCCGCCGAGCCCGGCGCGCTCCGCGTCGCCGGCGGTGGGCGCGCCGCGGCCCGGCCGGCGGCTGCGCTACCGCAGCATCGTCTCTGATGTGTTCGACGGGCGCATCCTGTCGTCGGTGCAGTGTTTGACCTGTAACGGCGTGTCGGCCACGCGCGAGACCTTCCAGGACCTGTCGCTGGCCATCCCCAGCCGCGAGCACCTGTCTGTGCTGCACGCCCAGCCGGCCGGCGGCCGCGGCGCCGCCTGCGTGCAGCTGAACGCCCGCCAGGCCTGGGGGCCTTGGCTGTGGTCGTGGCTGGCATCCTGGTTCTCCGGACCCAGCGTCTCGCTGCACGACTGTCTGGCGTCGTTTTTCTCCTCTGACGAGCTGAAGGGCGACAACATGTACAGCTGCGGCGGGTGCAAGAAGCTGCGGAACGGCCTGAAGGTGTGCCGCGTGCTGGAGCTGCCCGAGGTGCTCACCATCCACCTGAAGCGGTTTCGCCACGAGCTGGTGTTCTCCACGAAGCTGGGCACGCAGGTGGAGTTTCCGCTGGTGGGCCTGGACATGGCGCCCTACCTTCACCGACAGAGTCGCGGCCAGGTAACCGTGTACGACCTGGCGGCGGTCGTCTGCCACCACGGCACCGCCGGCGCCGGACACTACACGGCCTATGCGCTCAACGAGCCGTCCGGCGCCTGGTACGAGTATGACGACCAGTACGTGACAGAGGTCGGCGCCGACACCGTCCAGTCCTGCCAGGCGTACGTGCTCTTCTACAGGTGAGCCGGCCCCGGCGGCCGAGGCTGCTGGACGCGCGCACTGCCGCGGCCGCTCCGCTGCGGAGCGAGCGCAGTCATCCTTTACAGCTGACCGTCAGTGCCAAACACACAGCTTCAGCTAAAACACAGTGTATTGAGGTACGTTGAAAACAAAAACGATTTAGGGATGTGTAGGTATTAGGGGAGACCCGGGAGGTATGGGCCCCCTGGAGGTATGGGCCATCGCAGAACTTTGAAGAAGCTTTACGTACTTTTTTCTCATTTGACCGCGTAAACTGGTAGCAGCCATTCCGTTATACCACCCACGTGAATCCCAAAATCTTCCTCAGTCTCCTTAACCCGGCAGGCGGTGGGCCCACCGGCCACCTTCCGCGCGGTGGAGGGGGGGCAATTTTTGCCCCCCCCCCGTATCTCCGAAACTACTGTACGGATCCGTAAAATTCAAACGGCGTTCGATAGCTCTGTCAAATTCGTTGAAGGAAACCAAATTTCATTGACCTCGGGGTCACTGATGACGTCACAGGTCAGGTTAAAGATGAAATGTTTCACCGTTCACGGGTCGTCTAGGGAATGCGTTATAACATCGAGTAAAACGCATTTTGTCGAAAATCAGCGATAGGGCGTCAGTTGCCTAGTACATGTATGTTGCTATTAGAGTACATGTATGTTGCTATTAGAGGCCACTGATAATACCAGCTCAGGTCACAGGTCAGGTCACCAAGGGTCAGCACATGAACCCAACTTTACTAAGATTGTACGATGCATGTTTTATGGCCAATTTTTCATTTCCAACTCAATGGTGTTGGTTATAAGACCATCAGGTACGGTCTAGATCACTTTTTGGGCGAGGTCAGGTAAAAAAAGGTCAAATTTTAAAGTTGATAGTTTTGCATAAAATGGATGTTGATTCGATGCATCTCGTCACGGGGAGACTAATCTAATGGTGGTCTTTTTTTTTGCGCTACGTGGTCTAGAATGGCTAAAAATTGAGTTTGAAAATTTGACGTCATCAATTTTGAACAGTTTTTTTCGCTATAACTTGGCCAAAAAAGAGGTATCAATCTCAAATTTAGTATGCGGATAGTAGGTGGTAGGGACTATCACATATACATGGTGTCTCAAAAAAGTGTCACGGTTTTGAACATCTCCCATTTCCTAACTACATGACCTACATCGTTCAAATTTCCCTGAATAAGTGGCAATAGTATGACATTTTGTGTGGTAGAATTTCAAGTTCTTAGGCAAAATAGCTTTTCCACCGAAACAAAAAATCAAAAAATCTCAATTTTGGGTGCTATAGGAGATGGTATACGTCACTGTCTGCCGACGATTTCGGCAAGACTTCGGCTTTTGCTTGTTGAACCAAGCAACGTGCTCTACAACTATGAGAAACCAAAAAACGCCATGCAAAACAGACAATGGAATCCCAATCACCATTAGTCTCAGGACAGCGCGGTTGCCATGCCTGACTCTTCCGTCAAAAGCTGCAGTCGCTGACACCGTGCAAAGGACTTGTGACACACTGCACATTGCGCACACCCAGAAGTTCTGCATGTTTGAGTAGGAACTTTAAAACTGTCCAGTGTCCATCAGCTATCCTTTCTTCTCTTTATATGTTTCGGAACAAAATCGAGTAGAGG